TCAGACTGTCATACAACAACAGAGTGTCATACAACAACAGACTGTCACACAACATCAGACTGTCATACAACTGTAGTGAACTAAGCCTCCGGTCAAGACCTGCCTCTGAAGACCTTCATGGGACAGGAACTGTTATTTCATTGATTTGAATCCAGAAATACAAATTAGCTCATCCAGAGACTGTCTAATTGTATCCTGAACTAATCAATTGAAAGAACACTCTCTTTTTTATATTATCATTAATATTTTACAATATCTTGATAATCAAAAGTGTGTTTAGTTCAAACCATTTTAAATGTTGAAGTGAACCACTCATTTTAAATCAACTGTGAAACAGTATTAATGATTTTTAATCCTCATTCAAAGTAGAAATCAAGTTAAATGTCTATGTTACAAAGTAATTATGCATTTTTGATCTTCTGTCTGAAATGAGAAAGGTGTGATGTCGGTCAAAAGTCGGAGACAGTCGCAAACAAGTTTATTGGAACGAACTGTCATGTTTTTAAACCTCTCAGACAGAAACAAGAAAACTGGCACCTGTAAGTCTGTCATTTCTCCAAAACATTTCTCTGTCTGTTCCTAAACATCTCCGCTGTTTTTCTGACTTGTAGTGACCCTCTGACGTCACTAAAACCACACCCCTGTTGGTTCTTTCAACCAATCAGGACTTCCCAAAAGTGACCGGAAGCAGAACTCTTTAAAAGTCGACACTTCCTAGTTCCAGGGAGAACAGAAGTTCCAAAAGTTCAGAACAGAGAGTTCTGCTGAGAAGGAAGACAGAGTGTGACTTTGCAAGGGTGAAGTCCACGGTGGTCTTTTTCTGAAAGATGACACCTGTCTGGAGTGTTGCTTCAGGTCATCACGCCAAAGACCTATTCAACATCTCAGGAGTTCAGCACGTTTGCTGAAATTCCACTTAACTTAATCCTATCCTTCGGGGGAGTTTATTTTGGAAGCTGGGCCAGTCAGCCTCGTGGTCCCAAGTTGATGAGAAGCGGATACAAATCCCTGGAGATAAAAGACTCAGCCTTGCTGGACGCCAGGAGAAGACCTCTCTGAAACCCCACCAAGGTAAAGAGTCGACGCTCGGGTACCATCTGGCTGAAATCACCGGGAAACGTGCTATCTGGTTTCAAACAAGATAACTCCCCATCTTTTCTTTATTATCTTAGTTAACCCTAAGTATCCACTTTTCCTTCTTAAACTTTACTCCATCTCTATATATTTCCCTGCCAGTAAAGATAAGCTAAAAGCCCGCAGACATTAATTTAAGATCTAAGGATATGTCTGTTGTTTCAAGCTGCAAGTGAGGAATCATGGCCGTATGACTTCTCATTGTAAAGCTCATTAATTGAGCTGTGTTATTGTAATCAATTATGCCAATCAATGTGTAAAATGTGTGATGTGTTTAAATCGTTTTGATAAATAAAAGACCTCACTGTTGTTGGTGGGTCAGAAATTTAAACACGTCTTTGTCCACATTTAATCTTCTAGGCACGATATGACTTAGTCCAGAAAAATGAAAGAATCCGTTTAAATTAAGTATAATATTATGTACTTGAATTAGTCCAGATATTATAAAATGTAAGAGAGCACCCCTGAGCTAAATCCATCTCTCGGTGTCTCTCATTACACAACAACAGACTGTCATACAACAGACTGTCACACAACATCAGACTGTCATACAACATCAGACTGTCATACAACAACAAACTGTCACACAACATCAGACTGTCATACAACAGACTGTCATACAACATCAGACTGTCATACAACATCAGACTGTCATACAACAACAAACTGTCACACAACATCAGACTGTCATACAACAACAGACTGTCACAGAACAACAGACTGTCATACAACATCAGACTGTCATACAACAACAAACTGTCAC